CTTGCGATAATTATTATATATGGTATAAGCCCTACATAAACTAATACAAGCAATTATTGAAATAATTTTGTTCAAAAAATTATTACTTTTTTCTCATGAGCTCCTTAATTCATTATAGTTTAAGATGAATAAAGTTTCCATTGGAATAAAGATATTGTACGTTAAGGTGAAGTTATTGTCATATTTTAGAATATTATTAATATTATTGCTTCTAAAGGGTGGTTTAATTTTTATAAGTTTGAAATTTTAAGTTAAAAATTTTATATTTGAATTTTGAATTTGATGATGAAAAACTTTAAAAAAAAAATTATTTTTTTATATAATTCATTATCAAATATTAAAAAAATTAAGACCACTCTAAATATTATTCCTGTAATTAAGTAGTTTTTGTCATTTTCTCTTCCCAAAAGGGGGACCTCAATGCTCTCGAGCAAGAAAATAATAACCAATAACTATTTCTTTCGTTTTCTTCTCCCCTATAACCAAATTCCTTGGATCTAAATTTAAAAACTCGTTAATAGTAGTAAATTTTATACATATTTAAAGCAATTGATTTTGTTGTACCTATGATTTTGATGATTACAAAACACATTTGAGTGACTAATTGGTTTATTTAAGTGTGTAGTTAAGTTGCTAAAAAATTGTAAGTAAACTTGGATTGCACTAAAAATAGACCAAAATGATTCAAAATGTGCAGTAAGCCGGCGCTTAAAAGCTGCAGTCGGCTCTAGAGAAATGGAAGTGCAGAAAGCCGGCTCTGAAAGCTGCAACCTGCTCTGAAAGTTGCTACCAGCTCTATAGGCAAAAATTTGAAGACCGTTATTTGGCGCGCGCGGAGCAAAGACGCAAAGCCGGCTCCAACTTTGCAACCGACTGTGAGGGTGCATTTAATGCACAACGGTCGACTTATTTGAAGAATATTTGATATATTTAAAGTCGGAGTTTCAAAGCCGGCTCAAAGTCTTACAGCCGGCTCAAAGTCTTACAGCCGGCTCTTGAGGAAAACAGAATGGCTTGCAAAACCGGATATCCGACTCTGGAAATGTAAGCCGGCTCTAAAAAGTTAAGCCGGCTCTCCTAACAAACCTGCAACTCAAGCTTTGTGTCCTACAGAGCATTTAATGACCCCCAACAGCTAGAAACGGCTATTTTCGAACAAAAGGCTATAAATATGGTTGGTAACAAATCTGAAGAAGTTTAGAGAGTATTGTATTGAATATCTTTACCTACCAACTTGTGCTTTAACTTGAGATTTCGATCTTTGAGAGATCTTTGTTTGTAATTCTCTTCTTGTGCTATTAGTGAGTGATCTTGGGGATGTGTTGATTCCTTCAAGAGTGATCTATAGAGAGGATCTTTGGGGTTTAAGTGTAAAGGGGTGAGATTTGAGAGAAACCCTTCTTCTTGTAAAGGATTGAGTGGCTCCTTTAAGCCACCATT